GTTTCGTTTTTTCGTTTTCATATTATATTGAAATACAATCTTCAACTTTTCAAAACAAAAGCCCTTTAGACGACATGCGGAAGCGATAAACAAAACCATTTTGGTTATCAATGTTTTCATGATCTGTCGGACGGATCGCAGAACGGATACTTACCTTAGCTCTTTGGAGCCTAAAGAACATTTCAAGATATAAAAAACATGATTTTTCCTTTCCGTTATGTGACAAAATCGATTGGGGTCATAATTTTTAGCACTTTCCAACATATTCCATCATACATCAAACGTCGCTGAATGTTTCCCTCGCTCTACGGAAGACTTTCAAACCTTACCGAGCCCCCCCCCCCCCTTTAATTCAAACCAATTCAGTCTTCGACTTGAATCGACGCGATTTTTCGACTTGTTTTAGGTCGGTTACGATTTAAGGTACTTATTTAGTTATTCAAAAAAAAAAAACAATTTTTTAACCTAGCTAGGTGTATGCTTTTTACTACCTAAAACAGGTCGTTTTTTGCGTGAATCAATCGGCTGGTTGGGCTTGTATCAATTCGTTCGTTTAGCTTAAATCAAGTCGATGTTGACTTGAGACGTTTCTTCTTGGAATAATCCCGCTTTCCATCCATAGAAAGACTGGGATTGGGATTGATAGAATCAGAGTCTCTCGATTTTAGTAGATCAAAAATTGACTTGAATCAAATCAACGTCCACTTGAATAAATACTTTTTTGTTGGCTGTGAAAGAAAAAACGATGGTTTCTCCTAAATCGATATAAGTACCCTTTGAGTTGATATTGTTTGCCCCAACAGATCGACCATTCTCTCACCCTCATTCCTACGCCATCCTTGACATACAAATTGAATTAGTATCGGAATAATTTCAATTATAATCGTGAATTTGATCAAATGCTGATGAAGTTACTAGAAAAGCTGCCCCCGAGTACCTCGGCTCCAATCTCCCAAGTCCAGTGTGGCATGACCGTTATTGGTCAACTTCATTGACTAATAATTCGTTGATTAGGGTCCAAGGCCAGAAATGAAAGAGGAACTTATGACTCAAAATTTCGCTAATATCATAATCATATCTGCATAATTACCTGATTGAACATATTGAATAACAAGTCGAGTCGATATAAAGTTTGTAGTGATGGTTTCTCCTTAATTATTTAGAAAATGGAAAATCACAAACTATTGAAAATTCTCTACAAAGAAGGGCTTCCAATGTTTTCCCAATTTATTCAACAATTAAACTGAGCAACATTGACACAAAGTGTATGATCGCTTCCCTGCTGAATTAATTCTGTGTCATTTGAGGTAAGAAATAAAGAATAGCAATAAATATAATTTATAAAAAAAATATAAAATGGAAACACTCAAGCTTGAACCGTGATAAATCTAAATTACTCGTGAGATGAATTAAAAATAGGCTGTTATACAGTTCGAATGCGTAATTAGACATTTAATTGGCTTTCAGAAATTGCCGTATTTATGGGGAATAACAACATGAAAATTCCATAATTGTTCAGAAATTGTTGAGTCTTCGTCGGCCTAATTGAGTACTTTTCATTTCATCTTGTGATTTTCTTTCTATAAATTAGCTTTCTAATTACAAGAGAATTATGAAATGAATTAACAAAAGCGACTGTATCGGAGAGAATTCGAATGGAAATGCTATTGTAGAAAAATGTAAAGAATTTATTAAGTAAATCGTTCAATAACGAATGTGTTGATATATTATTAATTGATGGAGCTGATAGTTTTGTTAATAATGCAAATATTTCAGAAAGTATATTGATCTGAGAAAGAAATATCGGAGACCTTTGTTGTAGGCCACGAAGCTTTTCATGAAGGACTCGGAGCAGGTTCTCCTCACATCACGTTATTGAGATAATTAAAAGAGAATATCATGAGAATATCAAAAGAGCTTTTCCACAGTCCAAAAACTTCTCTACCAAAATAATCTCTCGAGATTTTCTTATGGACTTATGAATTCCCGGAATATATGGCAATAAAGTCTCAATTTGTTCCTCATCAAAACAGTCGCATATGCCTTACAAGAAATTAGCTTATAAGATTGAACAGAATTATACTTAATGAGAATACTATTTCAAGTAAGCCAGATTCACGCTAATTAGAACGAATCTGAATGAAAGACACGATCGTGAGATTAAAGATGAAAAATAAAAGAATTTTGACAATGTTTCTTGATTAATACTTCGATTAATTAACGATCTTTTGGTATGAAAACTCAATTTTATTAAATCATTTCCCCGAAGCAATGAGAAAACATTTAACTAAAATTTCTTCAGGAAACCAAAACTTATCACGTAGGAAATAATCCTATAGAATTTCCTATAGGATTTCCTATAGGATTTCCTATAGGATATTCTATAGGATTTCCTATAGAATTCACGATAGGGTTTCCTATAGAAAGCAACACACAAAATTGAGACTTGAATCCAATCGGTCACAAGGGTCAGGATTAGGGTCAGAAATCTGATAGGGAATCCTATAGGAAATAGTATAGGATTTCCTATAGAATTAATTTAAAAAAAATGAAAAATGAAAAAAAATACTTAGGATTTCCTATAGGATATCCTATAGGAAATCCTATAGCATTTTTTCATACGTGATGTGTCTTCTTTTAACAATTTCATTTGCTTTATTGATAATTTTGATATCAACGGAACGTTAAAAATCATCGAAATTTATTTGTAATTTTTCTAGTGGAGAAAGAATGATAAAAACATGACTCTAATCGGGGAGACTGTCGGAGAAAAATATTTCAACAATTAATTAGTCTGATAAATTCAATTGCAAGAGATCTGATTCTACCAAATTAACCATCGTTCTTTTTGATAATTCTTCTCCACCGGAAAAATAGAGATAAACTAATTTACACAAAGAAAAGAAAAACTAAAACCTTGTATAGAAAATCCTGAAAATTAATAAAGTGTTGAATGATTACAAAAACATTGATAAATTATTATTTATTCCTTGTGATTCCTGCAATAATATTTGAGAATCATCTCAAATATTCCATACCAACACATTTCAGCACTTGCCTTTTTACATGTTGAAGAATATGACCGTTATGGAATAGAATCTCAACACACTTATCCTGAATTTTTTGTGACAAATCTTGTTCGTGAACGAATGGGCAGATTTTGATGAATAAGAAACTATTTTCTTTGTTTTTCAGCAATTTTTTTTCGGAGTAAATAAAAATATTGCAGGATCGCTAAAGCATTTAAAAATTGTTATATCCGAAATTTCCAGAAATATTCCATGAAACAAAATAAATTTTCAAGCGAAGGTAAAACACCTCCGGCTTCACAGAATGCCGAATCAGCACCTCAGTGCATCGCTCCCAAAAAGTCCCACCGTGCAATGACCGCTATCGTATGCAATTTCCCAATACCGAAACTCTAAAATAATCATTATTCCTTCCCTTGCCACGAGTCGAATTTTGTCACCAAGCTAAACTGACACGTAGAGGGAGTCGTTAGCTGGCTTTCGGTAGTGAAAGTTCTTAGCGGAAATTGCTTGCGGAATCGGTCGGGTGGAATTCAATTCCGGTAGTAATTCAGGCAATAATTCCTGATACTATAACGGTGACTTCTCATTCATAATTTCGGGAGGTGATCATTGATTTTCACTAGGGGACAGTAATTCCCTAAAATCGAAAGTAGCCGCGTTTCTTGCATATAGAAAGAATACTCCAAATCACAAAGTATTTTGTGCTGACGAACTCAAATATAAAATTAAAGTATAAAATTCATTTAATTCACCTAGTGAACTCTAGTTTACCTCAATACGCAAGTATTCTCTGTGTAGTGGCGAAAGTGTAGAGGAAAGAACATAGGTTCACCATAGACTTACTTACTAAAATTCAAGAACTCTATATTACGTATACTTTTGAACTATTTGTTAAAAAAAATTCTAAAGTGCAATCGTTTGGCGGAATACCATTGGATACTTTACACCAAGCGACATCCGAGCAAAATCGAGTGAGTACCTCTTTTCCAAGACGAAAATAGGAATCCTTCTAGGGGACCAAAAATCGGTTCTATAAATCAAATATTCTCAAATCAAAATTCTAACATAAATTTCATGTATTGGTCTGTGTAAATCTTTCGGAGAAATTATAATTTTGATTGTTAACAAATCTTTTGGTAATTGCAAACGCCTTTCATCCCTCCGTTTCCTCCTATCCTTGGAAGAAATATCAGGAGTTCAAAAGACATAAAAAGGTAAGATTTGAACAAACCTTTCAACGTCGTTTTCTAAAGAAGAAAAATAAAACAAATTTATGGCACAAGAATCCGTGTCATATCTTGGAATAAATTCAGTTATTCGGAGAAATAGAATTATTTTATTCCAGCCGTAGTCCTTCGACGTGGATTACATCTCCAGACATANAATACACTTTTCATTTTTTTTCTCCAAATTTTATTTGTGCACAAGTACAAGCTGAACATGAATAACTTTTTTTTCTTCAGAAGGTCGATCAGAATATATCACTTTTCCCCACAATTTCAAGATGGGATTCGTCAATGGCGACGATGGTTGAATTGGCACTGAATGATCCATGTGAAAATTGTTGACAATTGAATCATCTGAATAATGATCAATGTGAGAAGAACATATCAAGAGGACTCGTTTCCAATCCTTTTTTCCATTCCTTACAAAGAAGTCTCTTGATATTCATTCAAAACATCACGGAATTACGAGAATTGTATTGACAATAAAATTTCTTCTTCTTGAAAAAATTTCGTTTCCATTGTTGTCACTGAGAAGTCAACCATTTAACAATGGAATAACATAGATTAGAACCCCGTTACTTAGATTCAGAAAAGAACAACAAGTTTCATTTTGACTATATCGACATAATTCAACAATTCAAGAAAGTTATATGTTACTTCAACCCATAAAAATCCTTCAATCAGTTCGGAAAATGAATAGTGTTGAATTATCACGGAAACTTTTAAAAAACATTTCATTATGTATCATTAATTACATGTAATTTATTCTCAATTACCAAAGGAACTCTTAATCATTGTCCACATTTATTATAAAATAATAAATTAAACGTTATATCGGTACAGGTACAAAATACAAAAGTTCACAGCCTTGCGGAAGCTTCAATTAAGTGCACTGTATCATTTATGGGCTGCTGAACAAGAAAATTAACGAATTCCATCGAAACTTTGATATTTATATTATTTCATCGTTTTCATGAAAAAAAAAACATTAAAAATAAAAAAAAGCTAATATCCATGATCATCGTGACGTACGTGATCGCTAATTACATACAAACTACAAAAAAGGTAAAGTAGAAGCGTATCAAAAAATAATAATTATAATTCACCTTCACCTAATTTGGAGATAACATTTCTCCCATGTCTTCATCTCAAATAAAATTATCCCTCTATGTATCTTTATGTTTAAGGCACTTGAACGTTCGTAGGTTCATTATGCTTTCAGTGATTGCCTTTTCATGATCATGATCATCGGAATGTTTCAATATTAACAACATGTTAATAACATTTTGTGCATTTTTCAATGAATCTTAGAACTGATTTTATGTGGATTTATCCGGAAAAATGATTCATTTGAATTAATCCTATTCCGATTAGGTAAGTCGATAAGTTAGAATAAATAAGTGATGATGGGTGATTTCAATGAGAACATAATTGATTTGAGTGGCAAAATTAATCATTGATCGAGGTTGAGGGGTGAAACGGTTCAAGTTAAACATAATAGTTTTATTGATTATGCAAATATCTCGAGGATGAGTGGTTTTAGATGAGAGTGTTGAGGAACCCGCTTTAGACGGTCCTCCAGTGTTTCTGCTGAAAGCAATAATCAGGAAGATCATTCAACATTAACAATACCATAAAATAGGTGGAATTAAATAGAAAAATTTGTTTAAGAGGTAACGGAACCCGTCGAAAAGAGCAGATTTTGTTCACGCTTTTCTCTGATTCTATTCAATAAAAATGGCTGAAATTTTCTCCACATATTGAGGTTAGCATGAGGGAGGGTATGTATCCCTCCTTTTTTTTATTTTTGCAAAAAAAATTGTTATGGAAAAAATTGCAAAATTTTCTCTTATATATGAAGGGTTACAAACCCTCCCTTATGCTTCCCTTAATAAGTGGTGAAAATCTCGGCCATTTATATTGCATAGAATAAAAGAAAAGCTTGAACATAAATAAGTTTATTTCAACGGCTTCCGTTACCCCTTAACAGGATTAAGGGGAGATTACTATGAGTTTTAATACTCCGTTGGTCGCGCTATGAGCGCTGTGTCGGACTTTTTCCGATTTTTTAAATTACACAGCAGTCAAGCCTCAGAAAAATTTGAAAAAATTTCACATTTCACTTTGAAGTGTCTAGAAGCCCTATCAATGAAAATGCCTGCCAAAAATGTGATAAGTAGCTAGCTTTTCAAATTTTTATTCCGAAACTCCGGGCCGTGTACCGTGTATAAGGCGTGTTTTCAGAAAAACATAGCAACTTTGAGCTTGAATATATAATTAAGGCTGACACTGAACATAAAAAATCTCACGGGACTTCTAGATCGATTTTTATTTTTTTCAGATTTTTCCTAGATCTTTCAAATTTATCATTAGGTCGATTTATACTAATACGGCGCGACCAACGGAGCATTGAAAGTCGCGGGCGATTGGAGTGAGATTTCGCATGGATTGAAGATCGATTATATGTCTAAAAACAAATAATTAGTGCAAAAAAATTAATTGTATATTATTCATTTGCTCCTCACACGCTTAAAATGTTAACAATAATCTAGGGCCTTCAATTTTTGAGCTACAAAGATTTTTTTTATTCAAACTTTTTGAGAAAATGTGTAAAATGACAATAACGAATTAGTTTTTTCAAATTCGACCCCTACACAGCTAATTTCGTTTTGTTTAATATAGAAAGTTGCCCCATTCATGTAAAGTAGGCAAACAAAGTCGACGTTCCCTAATAAATCAAAAATATTTCAATTTTATTTTTAAAAAAAGGGTATCTCAAAATTCATATGAAAAATCGTCTGGAATCTCACGTATTCCTTCTCTTCACAGCTGCATGAATGATATGAATGCATCAAAATGATTTTTTATGTCACTGGACCCGATAAATCGCGATTCTAACCTCGCTTTGCTCGGTTAGATCGCCGTTTTCGGGCCTAACGACATAAAATACAATATGTCATACGGCGATAAAAGCATTATCTGGCGAATGTGATTATAATCCCTCGCCTTCGGCTCGGATTATAAAGCCACATTCGCCAGATAATACTTTTATCGCCTGATGACATAATCTACTATTAACACTCTAATTCTCACAGATCATTGTCCGAGCGGGAGTCTCGCAAGGAACGGCTGTACCTGATCAATGCTTTTCCCTCAAGTGAGGTTTTCCCTTGTCCTTCAGCGAATGCGGTACAGAGGGTCAAGGGGGTGGAAAGGGAAAGAAGGGAAATCGTAAAGGGTATACAAGAGGAAAAAAAATTATTTAAAATATATTCTCAATTCGTTCAGAAACATTTTTTGGGCTATTTTCCATGAATGTTGCATTTTTTTACTTAAAAAAACGCAATTAGCTGTGTAGGAGTCGCATTTCAAAAAAATAATTCGTAATTGTTATTGTGCACATTTTTTCAAAAATTTTGAAAAACAACCTCGGTAGCTCAAAAATTAGAGTCCGTGGACTATTTTTGACATTTTAAGCGTCTGCGGGGCAAACGAACAATAAACAATTAATTTATGTGCACTAATAATTCATTCATAGACGTATATAATCGATCGTCAATGTATGAGAAATCTCATTCCAATAGCGCGCCTCATTTAAAACTCATAGTAGTCTCCCCTTAACTAGAAAAGAACAATTCTAGGAACAAAAAGATTATTGTCTCCTGGTTTTTTCCTTTAAAATTGATGATCCAGAAAATAGTAATCCCATTGAACTCGATCTATTTCAACGTCCCTCAACAAAGTTAGTTCAAATGAATCACTTGTCCTCCGTGATAATGAATTTCAGAATAAATTCGGATTTTCTTATCAATTGAATCAACGTAAAATATCAAATCAACGTAATTAGTTAAAGAATACGTTCCAGATTAAATGAAACAAAAGAAATTTATGAGAATAATTGTTCTTCTCGTTATAAGTTCAGAGTAGAAGGCAAAAATTTATCATGATTGATCCGAAAACCTTTCAAATTAATATAAACAATTGGTATGTTATTCGGACAGATTCAAATAAAAGGAGAGAAAGCATTTTGACGTTTCTTAGCAAACGTTTTTATGCTAGTTAGTCTCATCTCTTTACTGGTGTCGGTCTTGGCACGTGTTTGTCCCCTCTAAGAGCACTTGTGTGACGTACATGGACTAGAATCGGTCAGGGAATCATATCGTCGCTGTAGAAGGAAAGAGGCGTAAAAATTATGCTTATTCAAAGCACTTACGTCGCTTTCACTTTATAATGACGATAGTGAGTGAGTACGTGTTTTCAGCACCGTCGTTTCAGAGTCATTAGGTACCCTGATTATTTCGAATTTGATAGAAATTATTAACTAGGTGTCCAAAGTTATTACGTTCGGGGATTTCTCCGTGGTGAATGCTGCAAAGGGTGTCGCCACTTGCATATTTACGGATATATAGAGGGGGTATGTCAGCTGCTTGTCCAGTACTATAATTTGTTTCTAAAATAAAAAAAATCAATAATTGAACAAATTACAAAAGATATTTCATGCAGGAACTTGAAAGGCATTCCTGTCTTGGTTTCGCTCGACAACCAAGAAACGAAACAAAACTTTCAAAAATTTATTTTCCACTTTGGTTTCTGGTGAGAAACATTCCATGATTTTCCTTCCTACTCTTGTTTCGGTTCTTTGGGGTTCCTGGGAACGAAACGCTAAAACGCAGCATTTTCGCTGTTTCAGATTTTATAGAGAAAGAAAATTTTCTAGTTTCAAATTCAAAAATTTCTAAATTGCATAACCCTATCGTACTGAAATCTAGCAAACAAAAAATTCAGAAAATAAATGAAATTTTTACTCATTCCCCGAAAAATTTCCCTAAAATTTGGAGAAAAAAGTTCCAATTCTCACTCATTTTCATTTACATCTAGTATAATTGTACTCCAATGTTCTGAAATTCAAAACTTTTGCATTATAAATCCTTTGTTATTCAAAGTATATCACCTAAAACCTCGATTCGATTAAGGATGTTCTACACCCTTTCTGCCAAAATTCAGGTTTTTTAAATTTTTCTGGCAAACTTATGATGGAATTGACGTAAAAAAATATAACGTTTTTGCGTTTTGTCATTATTTAATGACTGCCGAAATTTTAAGGTGGTGCGAACATTTTTCTGCGTTTTCTCTAAACTTTTAAAAAGAATCACAAAACTGTAGAAAAAACGCACGAAAATTATCGCACCACTACGCAACTTCGTGAGCCACTAAAGAATGACAAACCACAAAATCGTTATATTTTTTCACGTCACTCCCATCGATAATTTGCCAGCAAAATGAAAACGTCAATTTTGGCTAAAAGGGTGTCGAATACCCTTAATGTTAAATTATTGTTCAATTATTCAAGAATTTTTCCCTTTTTGCAGATTCTTGAGGTTTTACAGGTTCGTAATTGAAGAAATTTCTCATTTGAAGTGAATAAGTTTTTACTCCTTAAGTGGCTATGTGACTTCGACAGCGGTTACCGACCGAGTGAAAAATTTCAAACCAATTTTTTCTTAGAGTGAAACGATAATTATCAAAAAATCAAATTCTTACGCCCTTTATAACAATGTTATACAAGGTGTAAGAATTCGTATTTTCCAAAATAATCTTTTCACCCTAAGAAAAAATTGGTTTGAAATTTTTCACTCGGTCGGTAACCGCTGTCGAAGTCACATGGCCACTTAATGTAAGGATATCCAAGTACTTCGTTCAAGTTAGGAACTTTTTTTCAAGCAAGATTTCAGTTTTGTCAAAAATCTTGCCGTCCCCATACTTTTTCGGATTTTTCATTGTTGAATACATTTTTTCGGGAATTTCTTCAATGAATATTGTGAACAATATTTTATTCAATTTCACACTTGACTCTCGTTGGTCTAACCTCTAATGATCATACGGCAACACTGCACATGTGTTCCATATAACCCCGTAAATTCGGTCCGAGTAGTCACTTGAACGGACCGTTGCCAGACGTCAGGAACGCGCGGATTCAAACCACCCAACATGGCCGTCGTACCAATCAAGAAGCTTTTAATTTGATTGTTTGCACTTATCTGTCCGGAAACTTATGTTTTTTAATCGCAAAAAAACTAGAGAGTATAGCGAACAAAGTCATGTACGGTTATGTGTACGAGAAAACGCTTTAAGACTATGAACTATTGAATTGAAGGTGGGAGTATACAGCTCTTATGGACGCAATGTGTTCAATTTCATTCTTCCAAAAATCGTTTTCTCGAAAATATGTTCGGAAACTAAAGTTCATATTGCGCCTAAAAAATACCCTTGGTCTAGTCTATAAACTCTGAAGGGGATTTCCCCCAGAAAAAATTGCCTGAACTACTTGGATATCCTTAAGGGATGGTTGTTTGGAAATTAAGTACCTCGTTTTTTACTTTCAGTAGAATGCCTTCTATTTTAGAAGAATTAGTTTCTTGAAAGTAGTAACTTAGTTCTGGAAACTAGAAACTTTCTTTCCTTCGTGTTTCGTTCCAGGTCCCCAACTGCAATTGATGTAACATGGATAATCCAATTTCATCTATACATCCATTTCATGAGAAGTTTTCCATGTATTCAATGTAATGAAGTCGGGGACCTATATTAAAAAATGATTGCTCTTACCTCTTCATTCTTGTGCAGAGAAATTCGGAGAATTCCAGTGTCCTGAATGTGTTTTATCTGACGTTGCTCATCGAGGGATATTAAACAAACTCTGAAACGGAACGAAAAATCCGAAATAGTGTATAAAAATTGAAAACGTCAATGTGTTATTTATCAATTACAAATGGTTTCTTTAGATTCAATCACTTACTTGATGATAATATTTCTTTTCCTCTGATTTATAGTAATATGATCTGTATCCAACCGATGATTCCTTCGTATCCTCAATGACGTCGTATCTAAGTAAACAACGAGATCCAATCCAAAGTGGAAGGCAGTCCATCTCCATATGTGTTCACCTGGTTTTTCCACACACCTGCCACACCGAAAGCATTCCTTCAGGAATTCTTCCTCAGTTATTTCTTTTGGACTACAAAGGAATCATATGCGAATATTATTATTCAATAAAAAAAAGCATGTATTTAAAATAAATAATTCAGTAGAGAAGTGATGAAATAAAATTAGTCGAAAACAAATGCCCAGATGTGTCAAAGAATGTCTCTAAGAGACATAATAATCTTTATCGTAGAAAGATTCCTCTTTAAAAAAAACGTCATCAACAGAGTAATCTCCCGCTACCACTTCGCTACCAAATTAATTAGAAGGAGAATAAGGAGAGGAATAAGGATTGTACCCCGTCAGAATCGGTATCAAAAACAAGGTGATAACGTTGATAAAGTGCTTCAGGGATCTAAGGTGGAGAAATTCAAAATTGACGTTCAAATTTCGATTCCGAGGCGAATTCAGTGGAATGCTTCACTCACCCTCGATCAATGTTGGCGTCGATCCGCAATAAATGTAACCACTGTTCCCTGTAGGCGTCATGCAACCAATCAGGTGGTATTAAATTATCATTATATAAGATTTTGACATCCTGATCGTGTAATAGAAGATTTTTCATCCTCAAAGCTCTAAATGGGGCTGCATATTTTTTTCCTTCTTCGGTGGACAGCAGGGGCTCTGTCCACGTATGAGTTTTGAAGTAGTCATCGACCTGGAGGGATTGATATTTATCCTCCATATGGACAAAAAGCCTGAGAACAATGAGTAAATCAATGAATAATATTTTTTTGATACAATTAATTCATTATTTTGTGCAATTTTTGCCAAATTAAATGTTCTATGAATGAGGAATTCATGCTAGGTTTGAACCATGTTAATATTCCATGACTTTACATTTTGGAAAAATAAAAGAAAAAAATTGATCAACGAATGATTTAATAACTTTTTACCATTCTCTTAACATCATATAAATACAAAATTCCGTCTGCCACGCGACTAATTCAGGGCTCTCGACCAATTCAACCATCACATCAGGTGTCAATTCTTTTAGGAATGAAGGAAATCTCCAACCATAGCCAAGAAGATTGACTTCCAACCATTTCTTTGCTGCCTTCTTAGCTGCTGGAACACCGTAAGATACAGCTGCATTATAGTAAGGCACCACAGTCTTTATATTTGTCGTTTCGATCATTATCTCGGTGCACTGATCAATCAAGCCCTGTAACTGGAACATTGTCGACGTTGCTAAAATCGGAATGACGTCTTTTGGCTCGAGGCTGACCTCGTCCTGGTAGAATGATCCTAATACGACCAATAGAGCTAAAATAAAATTGACAAATTACAATTTTGTCTGAACGATTATGAAAGAAGTTAAGTTTTTATTTGAGATTTTTTTGTATATTGGAAAGTCATCCAAATTTATCGACTTGAGTGAAAAATTATGAAAAAAAGGAAATTTTTTAATTCATTAGAAAACCTTTTTCAAGGCTATGCAAATACTTTGGCCAGTTAAATTATCGAACAGTTTTCAATTATTTTATTCTTTAAACTTAAAAGGCCTAAATTTGATCGCCATTTTTCAACCCTTCGGGAATATTTCAAAAATATGAAAAAATACGACGTCTACTTTTCGAGGAATAGTCATAACATTATGGAAGAACTGCAATTTTGAAAAATTAGGATAGTTCTTCGTGAATAATTCAGGAACAATCAGAATTTTAAAATATACGAAAAAATAGCCGATGGGTAGTAACACGCATTGAATGTGGTAGACGACAAAATGACCGGCCATTTTCGGTAATTTTTTCCGCCTACCATATTTTACCCTAATAATAATTTTCTTGGAATCGTAACAATTTTGTCCATGTTCACCAACTATCGCACGCAAATTTGGCCTCAAAATTTTCGACAATTTTTTTTGTTTCATTCGAATATTTATGCATACAAAAGAAGATTTCTTGACTTGCAAAGAACCTTTGGTTTAGAAATGCCTGAAAAAATTGAAACACATACCGGAAAGCCGAAAGGGAACTGAAAATGAAGAAATTAATACGTCCAAAATCGATTTCTCATGGTCACTGCATATTATGGGGTTAATACCAAATAAGGAAGTAAGCTGTGTCAATGAAAATAACTATGTGATGAATAAAAATTATGAATAAACGATCGGATTATGAGAAATCAATTTTCGAATTGTTTATTTTTCGTTTATTATTGTTTTCGACTCAGCGAAATATGGTTTCGATTGGAAATTTCTTGAATTTGCAAAAAAAAATCACCAAACGGAGGAAAAAAATGGCGAACAAGTTAAAATCCAGGTTGAAATTTTCTTCTTAGATTTCCACCATGGAATTTAGGTAAAGGAAAAAAATAGCCATCATTTTTGTTTAATTTTTTTAATTTCGAAAATTTCCGTTCGAAAATGATATTTTGATTTTTTTAAAGCATGTCTGCACATGGTTAATTAAATCAAACAATTTTTAGGCTAAATCGTTTAAGCTCGCGGCGCGTGTTTAATTGACGTACGGGACGTTTCCCAGTCGATAAATCTGCCCAAGCAGCACAGTTCTGGAGGGTATCTGCAAGTATACCAAAAAGGCTGTCTAATGTCTGTCCAAAAAGGTAACTTGTGTCTAGAAGTTACCTAGAAGTTAACTAAAAGTTATCGTATGACTGCAAGATACCTTTTGGACGGACATTAGTCTGCCTTTTTGGTATACTTTCAGATATCTTTCGCAAAGTGTGCTACTTGGGCTGGTATTCGATAGATAAGTGCACGGAGAGAAAAACATTTTCCTCAAACAAATGTTGTTTGAACTAAAAAAAATCTCTAGTTGAAAGTTACAAAAAAATAAAATCAAAATTAGTTCTGACCACTTAAAGACTGTCTTGACATGTCAATTTTTCGTCGCAAAAATACAGTTAGTATTAGCAAAAAATTTGTATCCCTTGGACAAGCAAGAAATGTAATTTCTAGTACTACCTCTTCATTATTCCACACTACCTATTCCATACGTATTTTACTCCCGAAAAATGTTCGTTTTATGCGAACCAAGGGATAGTAGTTTGTCATTCCGGCTACTCAATAATTACAGACAAAAATGCATCATTGAATAACATAATAATGAACAGATGACGGCAATCTTATAATTTAGGGACAAAATATTTCTTGATAAATTTCCCTCTATAAGAGATAGGAGATATTTTCAACCTGGAAAAGCACCGTTTCGTGTGAATAGTCTGCCTCTTGAGCCAAATATTTCGTTGTTGTTGTTGTTGAAAGCAGGGCAATTATTTATGTTTGAGACTTTCAAATTTGAATCAAACAATTTCGGTTTTGGTAATTTTCAACTAGTGATTTTTTTAAATTTTAACACAAACAACCAATTCCAATTATTTTTCTATAAGAACGGAACGACAATTTTTTGGTAGAATGTAACTTGAATGGTACTGCTCAACCATGAATTTTTTCGAATTTTTACATGCAATTCACATACTAAAGTCGATAATTACTGATTTTTAAAACTATAAGTTGTCATAAGTAGTAATAACGAATAAAAAAGACATCAATAGCAACAGAAAAAAACGTAAAATCAATACAACCGCAATAAAAGGTTTCAGTTCACAAAAGATATATTGTAATTTTTATTTTTATATTTTTCTTTTTTGTTAATTCATATACCATCTGTGAATTTAGTCGGCCTTTTTGGGGTTCATACCTCCCTGGCGATTGAGGTTCCATGGTACATCCATGTTGTAGCATGGATGTAGCATGGATGTGCATGGCTGTCATTTTAAGGCGAAAAATGGGCCAAAAATGATTGGAATATAATCCAAAAATTTTTTAAATGCTGATAGACAAACAATTGGTCCCAATTAATACCCATTAATAGGTTATTTTGTATAATTAGGAGAAATTATTGATGGTGTGCTGTGTGGTAAAGAAGTTCAGATGGGAGAATGCCGCGAGATGGCGCCAGTGTTAAATTATCGAGTCGGCGG